GGCCGGCGAAGAGCAAATCCGCCTCACGGACAGCTGCGTCCGGGTAGGAGATCCGACCCGAGGGCCGGGAGACCTCCTTGTCACCCACCTCTCACCAGCTCTTGCTTCACTTCCCTGATTTTCCCTACCTACGTTTCAGAGGCTTCTGGAAATCACCGAAGGGTCAGAATTCCTAAGGCTGCAAGTGGAGGGAGGTGGATGCTCCGGATTCCAATACAAATTTTCACTGGATACAGTTATTAATCCCGACGACAGGCAAGGAGAAAGAGGTGGAGGAAGGGTTGGGTCCCAGAGGATGTACTGGAGGGATAAAAAGCGACTCCAGTTTAAGGTGTGAAGGATGATTAAAACACCCCCTTTCTCCCACTGTGAGAGGAGGGTGGAAATTTGTCATCTTGATTTTTAAAAAAATAGTGAGGTTATTCTTTTAATACTGGAGGACATTTGGCCTGCGTAAGTCCATAAGGTAGTCAGATGAGAGTCAGGCTGGATTGGATTGAGGCCCAAGTCTCTAAATAGCTTCCCATATTCATCCATTCCATTGAATCCTTTCGTTTCAGAAAACAGCACCTGTTAGAGGTCATAAGGAATGTTCCACTCCCCTCTGTACTTTAGAAAAAACAGAAGTGCATCTCGGGTTTCAATAGAGTGGCATGTTTTTTGGTGTTTGAGGTATTCACTACTGCCGGCCCTTCTGTCTTTTCAGGGTATTTGAACAGGGTGGGGCCAAAGTGGTGGTTGACTCTGCTAGCATGGCCTTCGTGAAAGGGGCTCTGGTGGACTTCAGCCAAGAACTGATCCGAAGCTCATTTCAAGTGTTGAACAATCCTCAAGCTCAGCAAGGCTGCTCCTGTGGGTCGTCATTCTCTATCAAACTTTGATGCATTGACAAGTGCCCTTTAGCTTGTCACCAGTCTTACTGTGTGAAGAATCTTGGATTAGCAGAATTCTACAAGTTTCCTTCTAATCATGTCCTTCTCTCAATTTTATTTTCCTTGATCCCTGAGTGTTGTGTGTTTTGCCACTATTATTTTCAGAATGTGAAGCTTTTTTACCTTGACCTAAATTCTTCCTTATCCCCTTAATACCATGCTAAGGCCAAGCTTCAAGTTAATCATTGTTGAAATCCAGTGAAAATCTGTAGAACTTGGTTGAAATCCAGTGAATATCTGTGGAACTTCTTAGAGTCCAGAATTTGGAGTTACTTCTTTGGCCTTCAGAACTGCATGTACATATATGTATACCTATGTATAAAACCTCATTTAAAAGAAAGTCCTTACTGTGTTTTGGATTGGGTAGCTTCAATACCAGTTACCAGGCCAGAATGAATATTCAAGTAAAGCAAATTAATTTTTGTTTTTAAGCCACTGTCTTGGTGTGTAGGTGGGCTGACTCAAACTTGAGATCTTGCCTCAGCCTTCTGAGGGATTATAGGCATACACCATCACACTTGGCTCACTTCATCCTGTAGGTGGACTAACTACCTCAAACTTGAGATCATCTTGCCTCAACTTTCTGAGGAATTAACAGGTATACACCATCATAACTGGCTCATTTCATCCCACTTTTTTTTTTGGTCGGTTATGGGGCTTGAATTCAGGGCCTGTCCCTGAACCTTTTTGCTCAAGGTTAGTACTCTACTACTTTGAGCCACAGCTCTACTTCCAGTTTTCTGGTGGTTAATTGGAGGTGAGTCTCACAGCCTTTCTGCTCAGGCTGGCTTTGAACTGTGATCCTCAGATCTCAGCTTCTTGAGTAGCTAGGATTACATGCCATGTGTGAGCCACCAGCACCTGGCTTCGTCTTATTTATTGACTGATTTAGCAGCACTGAGGTTTAAGCACAGGGCCTTGTGCCTGAGCCATATCCTTGTCACTTGAGCTTGTCCTTCTAGAATGTGCTATCAACTTATCCTTATTTTCTATGCAGCCTTTTGCCATTCTCCATGTGATAGGACAGACATATTTATTGTTATACTTGTGATATGCTAGGATGCATAAAACAAAGTGTACCCCCTAGAAAATTAGACCAGACTCACTGAAAACCTGAATGACTGTCTATATATCCATATACATCTCAAGATTCTGTAGTCTTTTAACAACCAAATCCTTTGAGGATATGTTTCTTCTCTTGCCTTACAGTATAAAATGTCTCATGGATAGTAGAAAGTGATTTTTTTCTCTTTTTTACTATAGCTAATACATGGTACTGTTTGTTTTTTAACTAAAGGTCACCAGGTGAAATGCAGGGTATCCAATTAAATTTGAATTTAGGTTAAACAAATGTTAGTGTGTTAATGTTTTTAATATAAGTGTGTCTTGTACTATGTGTGTCTCTTAGATATATATTTATTTGCCAAACCTAGCAATTCCTTTAATTTTATTTTTTAAAATTTATTTATTTTTTTTGTTGGTCACGCGGCTTGAACCCTGGGTCTGGGCACTGTCCCTGAAATCTTCAGCTCAAAGCAAGCACTCTACCACTTGAGCCACAGTGCCACTTCCAGTTTTCTGCTGGTTTTATTGGAGATAAGAGTCTCATGGACTTTCCTGCCCAGACTGGCTTTGAACTGTGATCTTCAGATCTCAGCCTCCTGAATAGCTAGGATTATAGGCATGAGCCACCAGTGCCTGGCTCTCAAGAAAATATTTTTAAATGACAAAATTTTAGAGCACTTATTTAGATATGGCACTTAAATAGGCTACACTAACAGTCATGTGGTCCTAGGTCTATATAGACCACTGTAAAAATCCACACTGAATGACCACAATGAATGACCAAATAATATTTGTGAACCTAGAACCAGTTGATTCTGTAAAAATTATTGGTTAGATCTGCATTTAGGAGCTTAAAAATTTGTTACAACAAAAACTTGCATTTCTGGACTTAGGGTTTAAGAAAATCTGCCATTAAAAAATGGAAATAAGCCGGGCGCTGGTGGCTCACGCCTGTAATCCTAGCTACTCAGGAGGCTGAGATCTGAGGATCGCGGTTCAAAGCCAGCCCGGGCAGGAGAGACCGTGA